AAATCAATAGGGATAAATAGAACTACTTAGAAGGGTTGGAGTGAGGATTAATGAAAATATCATCCATGAAATCACCTAAGACAGTACCTGATCCTCAATAAATATCTTTTTTTTTGAGGGGGGGTGTGCTTCCTGAATTCACCCCTCCCCCTTTCTCTGATCCTTTTGCTGTGGCCACTGCTCCTGTCCAGGCCTCTTAGAAACCTTCATCGCTTGCCCATCAGGCCACATGCCTCAGCCTGGCAGTAGCTAGGAGCAACAGCTTTGAAGCCCTGCATAGGAGTCCCTGTTAACCATGGAATCTGGAGCAAGGCTTTTTAAGCTCTCTAAGCTTCGATTTCCTCCTTTGTCCAGTGGGGATCAAATCGTCTATTGAACCAGGCTGTCCTGAGGATTAAGTGAGATGATGAATGGAAAGGGTTTAGCACAGTGTCAGGCACAAAAAAAGTAGTGTTTTTCATCTCAAGAGGCCTGACCTCCTTTCAGCTTCGTCTTCTACATTCCTTCCAGCAACACAGGACAAACCCTTCTCCCTGAAGCAGGCCTTGGACTTGTACACCTGAGGGGCACCTCTGATATTCCCAGCGAGTCCTATACTCTTCTTTCTCGAGCCTCAGTTCTACTTTGCTTCCCAGTAATTTGTTCAGCCTTTACTAGTAGCCTTCTGGGTTATGGCTATCTGTGCAGGCCTCTGAGTCAATCCTGGACACGAGTTCCTTGGGGAAAGGCGTTTCTCTGTGTAGTAAGTTGCAGAAGTACTCCCTCTCCTTGCCCAGCCTCAGTTTCCTTATTTGGAATGAGCCCATTGGACTGCAGTGGCTGAAGGGGCCCTAACAGCTCTGAGATCTTAAAATGACCGAACTTAATCAAGTAGCAGGGATCTCATAGATTACATGGTCCACCCCTGTCCTTCTCCAGAGGGGAAACTGAGGGTCAGGAGGGCCTCCACTTAATGCTATTCTCTCTCAGGCCTCGGGGCCAGGCTTCCGGTGGGCATCCAGCCCAGTTTTCCTAGCCACGCAAGGGGAGACTCTCAGGCGTCTCCAGGGCTCGGGGCGCCGGAAACACGTGTGTGCTCACCTACGTGTACACACGTGAGCACACCTACAGCAGCAGGGGACCCTCGGGCCGGCAGGGGGCAGCAGAGACTCGGTTTGCGATTACCGGGCGCAGCCCCGAGGGAGGAGGGTGGGTGTGCTGCAGTCCCGGCGGCGGTGGTGGGAGCCGGAGGTGCAGCCTCCCAGGTGGGAGGCGGGGGCCGCGGGCGCAGGAAAAGGCGCCTGGGGAGCGGGCGCTCAGCGGGGCCTCCTCCGGCCCCGGGCGCGGCACGGCGAGGGGGAGTGAGCGCGCCGGGAGCACGCAGGCGCCCTGCTCCGGCTGGCCCTTGGCCGACGCGCGGCGCGGGAGCACCCGCAGCCCGCCCCA